CATATGATACGCATCTACCCCACAACCCTAAACCTACCCATCGTGTAGCAGATACACGCCAAAGTCCATTTTTGCGTATCAATACCACGAGTTTTCGTTTTTATTTGGCGTACTATTTATACGCACTTTCATGAGATCGGGTTGGTTTCTCCGCAGCACCCTAGACGGTCTTCCAGGCTCAGTCACGATAATATGCACGGGCAGCCGGCAGCCGGCGAAAATTGAAGGAACAGCGACCCCTAGTCACAGATTTCTATAGGTCACCCAGGTAGCCAGCGGAATCGGGCCGGTTGCGGCTGAGTGTCGGCTCACTCGGCTGTGTGTCGGCAGCGGCTCGCCAGAAGTGAGCCGGCTCTGGCCCAGTAATGGTTGCCGGATTTGGCTAGGCTTTGGGTCTGTGGATCTGGCCCGATTCTGGTTGAGAATCGGCACATTTAGCCACATTCAGCCTGACTATGGGCCATAAGTGTCGTTATCGGGCCAGATCTTTTTGGCTACCTGGGCACCGATTTCGGCACAATACCGGTGATGTGTGAGAAATGCGCGCCTTCACGGAATGGATCGGGATAGTATTTTCAGAGTTTAACAATTTAAATTATGCCCTGCTATACTCACTAAACTATTAAATTCCGCCTGAGAGGACTGCGACTGCAACGTATCATCATTTCATTTGGACTACTGTGGTAGCCTACGGCTTTTTGGCATTTCTGCAATAAAGAAATTATTGTGATTAACTTTACACTTTTCTGTCTGTTATACTGTATAAATGTTTATTGTACTTTGTAAATATTGTACATTTCAGCATCTCTCCAAAATGTTTTGTAGTAGTAACGTTACATGTTGCATATTAATACCTACGTTACGTATAAGATAGATTTGGTTGAGTTGTTCTTTATAAAAAAAATGAAACCTTTTTAATGCAATACATTTTTTATTGTACAGTTACATGATTTGTGGATTTTAAGGGTGATTTTCTATTCAGTTAAATGTGCTTTATTGGTATAGTTTGTGTTTACATTACCAAAACATTTCACAAAGAATGGCAATTACTGTAAAAAAAATAAAAAAATACACAATGCAATAATATCAAATATTAATATTCTGTATTGGGTCTGGGCTATATAAGGCTCAGGTGTGGCTCAGTTTTGGGGCTTCTGGATTACTTAAAGGTCCCATTAAATGCTTAGAAACATGCAGCATTACTCTATGTGTTGACGTAATTTTAACTGAAACTAAAGCAGCCCGCCCCTTTTTAAACTAGCCAATAGCGTTCGTTTACATCACAGCTCGGGCTAGAGCAGAACCGTTGAGCTCCGTAAAGCCGCATTTGACAGAGTATGCCAGCCACAATCTCATCCATATTGCTATAAAATATAGCATTCTGTTTAGAATTCAAATAGCTCCGATACATTTTGTGGTCTGCGTCATTTGATTGGACAGAAAGTTTGATGAGAAGCTGAAGAAAAAAAATCGTTGAGCCGTTTAGGCGGAAGTGACGAACTGCAAGCTTTGAATGCTTATATCTTCTAAATGCGAATTTTGTCACTGTTTTGGAGCACACTGCCTTATAGATAACCTTAAGACTAACATATTGATACTAACACCCCAAAAACTTTCATTTTGATTTCATGGGGACTTTAAGGCTGAGAATCGGTAGGCTACCAATGCTAAAACCTATTCAGGCCCAGTGTAGGGCCACTTATGGGCTATTAATTGGCTGAGACTCGGGCCAGTTATGGCCCATGTGTGGCCCTTGTCTTTAATCCAGATCTGGGCCACACTGTGGGCCGAGGGAAAAGGGTTTGTGTGGACCAGAGCTGGGCCAGAAAAAAACTGCAATGTGGGATTTTACCTGTTTCATTTCAGCAGACTTCGCAGGTTTTGTACTTCTGTACAGGCTTTACTGCCATGCATGGGACAGCCGACAAATCCAGAGAAGCTTGAAAAGGTGCTGGCAGACCTGGATGGCACACTAGACAAGCTGGAAAACGTGTTTCTGAAGAACCAGCCCTTCCTGTGCGGTGACGACATCTCATTGGCTGACCTGTTAGCAGTTTGTGAGCTCATGCAGGTAAGAACTCAGAGCCGCTAAACATACTGTGAGGTTTATTGTATTTAGAGGCCATTATGCATCATTTATTGGGACGAAATTGAATATTCATCCACAATTGTGCATGTAAAAACATAAATAGACACATGAGCCTATAAGGCTTTGCATCTTTGATGTCGTTTGATCGTCTCTTTCAGCCCCTGTGTGGCGGGAGGGACATTCTGAAGGACAGACCCAAACTGCTGAGCTGGAGGAGTCGAGTCCATTCAGTGCTCTCGGACTCCTTTGATGAAGCTCACTCTGTTGTCTATCAAATAAGGGAGAAGTTCACAGCTAAACTGTCTCCCTGTTCAAAACAAGCCACTCTGATGTAAAGAAGTATTCACAATTAACACAGCAAAGTGTTTCTGCAGTTTACCTTCATCAATGATGTATCTGTCTGACATATGCAGTGTTTAATGTTTGATTAATATGTGATTTAAATTAAAACATATTAAATCAGTATTTTATTTATTTATTTGATTTTACTTTTTTTTTTTTTGCTGTAATTATTATTTTTGAACTATGTACACCAGACATTTTCAGGAAAGTTTTCTAAATTAATAGATGTAATGTTTTTGTGTATTTAAGTTGTAAATGTAAAAACATTTAATTGTTAATAGACAAAACTATACAAATATGTACAGTATATAGAAAAGTGGTACAGTGTTAGACATTTGAAATGAGTAGACATTATAAGATTTACTTAAAAATTAAACATATATTAAAAAACAGACTCGTGTTGTGTTTAACTTTCAATGACTTGAGTGATATGATATATAATGTTCTAATATACTTAAAATAAAGATGAATAATAGCTTTCAAAATAATACAAGTTATGATGCACAGAAATTCTCAAAAATTCTGAAGACAATTTTTTTTCTTAAAAATATCCAAATTTACTGAATATTTCTCATAAGTTTCATCATAATAAATTTGTATTGGGTAACTATGGTTACCAAAATTTTCTGTCAGTCACATTAAACCCCGCCCCATCAAATGATGAAGAGTACATTACACGTGTAGGTCAAGACTTGAAAACATATTCTTGTACAAGAATGTCAGTACAAAGAGCTTTATTTAATTTCATTTTATGCATTACATGTGTGTATCCATGGATTGTATTGTGAGCAAAATATATGTATTTGTGAGATGTCGATCAGTTACAGTAATGGTGGTGACTGTATAGATTTTTGGCTGAAATTTCAGCATATATAGACTAAGTTCACTTTTCTGAAGTAACTTGATGGTCTGCGGCTGCTGTATTCTCATTGGCCTCGTGTATTCATGAAAGTCAATATTTCACATCTACAAATGCAGAAGATCCTGCTATATTTACTCCCGGGACTCAGTTTAGCTTTTTTTGTAACTTTTCTGAAGTGTCTTTATTTTGCCATAATGCTACATTACATCATGGTCAGCTTTCAGTCAAAGTGTCCCATTAATTTCTCTCTCTCTGTGCCAGCTGTCCTGTACTAGCCGGGACGTTGTGTAATTTGGTGGAATTTTAGACATGTCCTGCACGCGAAACTGGTCCTGTATCAAACCCTAAGTCCCCCCCACCTTAAATCATTTCACACACTGTACGTACATACTGCTCTGTCCATGTCGAGGTTTATATTATCAGATCTGTTTCTGGCACAGTGGGTCACCCCGTCCCACCTGAAACAGGAGGCTTTTCTGTGAGTTAGTTTGTTCTCTATGTGTTCTTATGGGTTTCTTCCAGGAACTCCGTGATTTGGAGACATCTGGGACGTCTTGTGATTTGGTCAAATTTAATCATGTGTCAAATGGGACATCCTGGTCCTGTATCAAACCTGAAGTCAGGTCACAACCACACCCCGGCCCATCCCCTATTAAAGGGGCGAATCGATTGAGGGGTCCCAAACAGGAATACTTCTCGTTTCTACAGAAGGACTCACACTTCAGTTGACTATGACTGGCAGACAGGCTGTGAAAGCGTACTTAGATCTCGTGTCTCAGGCCTGCAGGGCTGTACTAATATTCCTTAAACACAACAAAATACACTGTAAAAAAGGATTTGAGACTTTAGCTTCCCCAACTCATTTTCCTAAGTCAGTTCAACTAAAATGTTGGGTACACTTAAGATATTAAGTTTACCAGTGCCCAACTAATCCGTTTAATCAGAGTAGTTCACGCAACAAAGATTTCTTAGTTGTATGAGTGGCAATGCAAGGAAACCCCGCCCACCGAGCCTTCCTCGCAGAACAGGTCGCCATGCTTGAAGACTGACGAAAAGCTTCAATTTTTGAGTCAAGAGTTCCAGAGGTAAGAGCAAACTTATGTCCAGCTTGTATTTATGAAAAATGTTTGATACATTAGGGTAAAGAGTAATATTACACAGGTTGTCAGTGTAATCCTCACGGCAGTGTTGTACGGAGTGTAAAACATGGACAAAAATATATGTATAGTGATCACGTATTTTAAGGTGTAACGTTAAACTAGATAAATACAGGGTTGTCAGTGTAATACTCTTGCCACTGTTTTTATAGAACCCTGCACGTGATATGTACTGATCTATATTTGAGAAAATTATATAAATCAGTGGTTGTGTTGCAACGGCTGAACTGGTGCTCAAATAAGAGTATGATGGTGATCAAGTCCTAAAAGACGCGATTAACTATATCATAGCAATGTGATGAGCTGATAAGAGAGCAGCATTGGATTGGTGGCGCGTCAGTACAGGGGTGTATACGACCTGGTCGAAAACACTTAGGCATGCAGCTCAGATCATAACTGAGGCTGAAAAGGCGGGTGTGCCACTCGCACTGACAGCACATGTGAGGCAATCGACGATACATCTAGGTTATAAAACCTTGCGAAAGTGTTGGGTGACGACCAGCCTGCCGTCATGCAAATGTCCTGAATAGATGCCATTTGTCCATGTCATGAGGACGCGAGCCTGCGGGTGGAGTTGGCACGAACCCCTATAGGACATTCCC